TAGTTGATGATCCTGCACTCAGAAGAGCCTCATACTTGGATTTGTGTTCTGCTATCATCATCTTGAAATTGTTAGCAATTTTTGAACAAGAGACACCACATTTTTATTTTGCACTGGGCCTCAGAGATTATGTAAGTGGTCTTACACAGTGTCTTCTATTTTCCGTTGTCAAGAAAAGCAAATAATTCTTTCCCATACTCTGACTTCTACCCCTAGTTGAAGATATATTTGAAGCCAAGAGATGGCTTCTGAATCCTGTTTTAGAGTTTGTATTGCAAAACTGAAGTCCAGGAGGAAATTAATTTTAAAAATATTTTTTAAAATAAGTCACTGGACAATAGAAAAAAGTCATGGGTGAGCATAAGGGACACTTATGCCCAAAAGCCAAAGAAGAAAAAAAGTTTAGATGATTGACTTCCACATATTTGAGAATGTTAGAGTAAAAGAAAAGGAAGATCAAAGAAATAAACTTAATCTGGTTCCTAGGAGGTTAGCTCACCTTCTACAACCTCACAGAACCCCATGATCACTCACCAGATAGCAGAAATAAGGAAGAGCTGGATAAATTTATGACATAAGGAAGCTTATAGGTGACTTTTGGTGGATCAGGTTCCCGACTCACTTCCAAAATTTGCATATAGTGCATAAGTAAGGAGAGGGACACCTGTCAACTCAAAAAAGGGAAAAGTGATGGATCTTTTGATTAGCCTATCCCAATACTTAAGGGTTTTAGTCCAGTATCATGATCAATGAACCAAAATTATTTCATTATCACTGCTCCTCATTCTCCTTTTCCCTTTGAGACCATTTTCTCCTTGATTGTTCTTTTCCTATGCATCCTCCTGAAAATTTTCTAGGAACTAATTTCACTAAAATTCCACCCTAACCCCAATGCCAAGACATTCAAAATTCATTTCTGCCTTTCCTTATCTGTGACAATGAAGACAAAAGCACAGGAAAGATACTGTTTCTGGCTCTTAGGGAACAACTGAGGGAATGCCACCAACAAAAGGCTCAAGCAGAGCGAGAGGAGAAGGGTGCTGATTATGAAAATTCCACCCAGTATGAAGTAGGCTAAATCAGGGAAGAATGACAGAGAGAGAATGACAACGTCCTTCTTTTTTAGGGCCCACCCTCTCGTTTTCAGAGGCTCCAGTTCTAAAGATAGCATAGTAAATGTTGGTAGGTGTCAGCGAGAAGGAGTGGTCCTGAGGGAGAGGGGGCAGTGAGCACTGAGGCTGCAGGTTGGTAATGACATGTAGCCCTCCCTTTTTAAACAAGGTCTTACTTGGTTTGTGTTTGAGCATCCAACACATTTTCTTACTGGTACAGTTGGTGAAAAGTGCACTGACAAGAACATTCGGCTCACCAGACAGTTCTATTTCTACCCAAGAAGAGAGGAGGAAAGACCCCAAAACCAGGGTGGCAGCCAGGAAATCACAGGTGAGGATCATGGCCCTGTTCAGTTTCTTCATCCTAAACCATCTATGGAGAGGCATCACCTAAGAAAGGGAAGAAGGGAGGAATTACCTCAAACCCTCTATATTTACTTCTCATCCTTCAAAAACAATTCCTAATGATCCCTCATTCTTAAAACTCCCTTAAATCTTCCATTCTATCTCCAACATCCCCTCTGTAGTTCAACTCCTTATTCATTTAACAAATAGTGGATGCCCATACTATGTCATGCCTGAAGTTCTAACCTATCTCCCAGACTCCAGTTATGACCCTCACCACTCCAGATTTCAGATTAACAGCCCCTCCCCCAAATGCTTTATCAGGCCCTTCCTGATCGGAAGCCCCCTAATATGTCCATGATTACATCTAATGTAATCCTTTGGGTGACAGCCAAGCCCTTTCTTAATCTTACCTCAACCTATCTTCTCAACATTCTCTCTACCTACTCTTCTTCAAAAATTCAGTGCTCTTCCCCGCCCCCCAAAATTTGTCATACTGTTTCCCAAATTCCATATAGGCAAGATCTCCTGGAATGGGCTCCATTTAAACCTTTTATCCCATTGTCCACTAAGTACCATTCATACATCCCTCACTCATTCAGCAAATGAACATGTCTTGAGCACCTCCTGTGTGCACAGTGCCTACACTGTTCTAGGTGCCTAATACTGGTTTGCAGAAAAATATGATTATATGTGGAGATATCCCTAAAGTGGTACAACCCCTTGTCAGTGCTCATCCTATCTACTAGGTCCTCCCTCCTCCCTCTTCCCATCAGCTGGTGTAAATCCATCCTTCAAGGCCCAAGCTTGGGTTGGAAACATACCCACTCAGTCTGTCCAAACTGTGTTCACCTTGTGTGAACATACACGACAATGACTGACTGCCTGACTTCATATTCAATCACGTATCACTTTCATATATTTATTTATCTTTTCCTCTCTGAATGTTTTGACTTCCAAGATGAAATGTTCTGAGGACTTCTTTTTAACAGCCATAGCACATAGGACATTGCTTTTTACTAAAAAAAATAGCAACTTTTAACCAAAAAAATAGAAAAATAAGGATAACAATAACATCTTTATTGGTCTTCCTCCCTTTCCATATAACTTCATTGATGAGAGAGGCAGTTCTGAGGTCCCGGGCCAGTGTACCGTTCTTATATCACACACTTTCCATTACAGTTTATTTCTGTTCACATCTCATTACTTTTTTCTTATCTTCCTGGTCTGTCTTCTTTTGAGCCTATTGTCTTTGCATTTTTATCCTTTCTCCCTCTTTGTTTTTCCATTAAGTTAACCCCGCCACATACAGTTACACACACACATTCTTTTTTTCTCTCAATTCTCTGTGCTCTTACGCAGCGAGGCTCAATCCTGGTCTCCTCCCTAGCATTCATTCAGCAAATATTTGATGACCATGCCTATTATGTGCCAGGCTCAGCTCTAGGCATAGGAGGTTCAGTACTTAATAAGTTAAATAAAGTCCCCATTCTCATAGTACTTGCATTCTTACTGGAGTAGATAGCAAATAGTCAAATAGAGAACAATTAAGCAGGCTGGACATAGGATGGAGAGGTGGCACAGCGTTGCTCTTTTATATAGGATGGTCAGAAAAAAAATCCAATTATGTGGCATCTGAGCAGAGAGCTAACAAAATTAAAAAATGAACTGAGCAGATATTTGAAAGAACCACATCCAAAGGCTTAGAGGTTGAAGCAAGCAAGCAAGGACAGTATAGCAACTGGAGTAGAGTGAAAGGGGCGAGATCAGAAAGGAGTTGGGGGGCAGACTGCATAGGATCCAGTAGGTAATGATACAGAATTTGTTTTTTTTCTGCAAAGCCACTGGAGGGTTTGAGCAGAGACATGACATGATCAGACTCACATTTCTATGGATTCTTTCAGTTTCTATATTAGGATTAGACTATTGGATGAGGGTTTAAGCAGGGAACTTAGTAAGTTATTGTGATAATGATACCATATGAGACGATGGTGGTTTTGGCCATGGTCCTAATAGCGGAGGCCATTAGAAGTATCACATTCTGGGTTCACTTTGCAGGAAGAACCATTGGACTTGATGATGGATTAGACATGGAATATGAGAGAAACAGGAGTCAGGAATGGCCTCAAGGTTTTTGGGTCTAGATCTGTAAATACTGAGTTTCTCTTTACTGATATGGGTAAGACCAAGTTGGATGTGCAAAGCAGTGAAAAGCAGTTTGATTTTAGACATCCCGCATTTGAAATGCCTATTAGATATCTGAAGATGTTGAGTAATTATATGTATTAGCATGGACAGCAGGGAGAAGGTCCAGACTAGAGACACAGGGATTTAAATCTGAGAAACATCCACAATATACAGGAATTAAAACCACTGAGAGTAAATGAGATCAACCCGGGTATAAAGAAGGCCCAAGGAGAGACGTAATCCTAGGACAGAGCTCTAAGGCTTTCCAGCATTTAGAGGCCTAGAAATGAGAAGTACCCAACAAAGAGGACAAAGTTGCCAGTGAAATAGCAAGAGACCAGATGAGAGTGATGTCCCAGAAGCGAAGAGAAGAAAATGCTTCATCAGGAGGAAATATCCAACTATGTCACATGCTATTCATAAGACACATGTAAGGTGAGGAATGAAGACTGATTCCTGATTCAGCAAGGAGGAGGTCATTATGACCTTGAAAAAAGCTGTTTGAGTGGAATGATAGGAACAAAAGACTGACTAGAGGGGAGGGTTTAATAGTGGACTGAGAAGAAATGGGGATGACAGCAGACAACTCTTTGAAGAAGAGCTTTCAGAAAAAGGAAAGAATTTGCAGCTAGAAGCAAATGTGGGGTCAAAAGGTCTTTTGATTTTTAACATGCAAGAAAGAAATATTGGTAACGTGGATGAGAGAGGGCAGTATTCCCGGGGCAGGCTATAGATAAAAGAATGAGCAAATCATCCATGGTAATTAGGAAGAAAGGCAGAATAAAAAGTTGATGAGATAGAATATGTGGGAAATGTGTTCTAGTTGCTTCTATTTTCTCAAAGGAATGGAAAGCAAGGTCATGGTTGAGGTGAAAATGGGGGAGGAGGTAGTGAAGATCTGTGAAGAGAGAGCTGCAAACAAGCTATCTAGAAGAGTGGCCTGGGGAATTGTGTGGGATTACAGAAAAGCACTAGGGGCCCACTCAAAGTTAATGGTCATGAACTTACAGCTGGACAAGTTAGCCTGGTGTGTCTTTTTCTCCAGTTTCATTCACCTGTATGAATATAGGCAATGAATAGAAATGTGGATTTTTACAAGGGTTAGAATTCCACAGAACAAGTATGATGGAGCAAGTGGGTTGACAGGATATGCAAGAGAGTAACTATAATGGTGAACTATGGATCATAGTCTGGGTAAGGAGGGAAGCAAAGATAGAAGAAGGGTGGTGGACAAGACAGTATAAAATGGACCACATATGCCAGTGGTGTTAAAATGTTGTTAGAGTTGAAGTCTTGGAGGTAATGAGCTGGAAGGACAGAGGTGACAGGCAGAATGAGATGTTTGAGGCTGAATTATGGAGTGGGCATGATAAGGTCTAAGGCAGTTTTTAAAACCTGTAGCTCTCACAGCAGACAAACATTAGTACAAGGACTGAGAAATAATTTGGAGGTCACAACCAACTTTTGGACTTTGTCTATTATTTATTTTGAATTAAGAAATGTATTTATGTATAAGTGAACATATATTTGTTACTAACTTCGTATTTCTTACTTACATGTAGCAAAGGAAAGTAGTGGATTTAAAAACTTTCAGTTAAAAATACACATACATACACAAATGCATGTATAGAGAGTCCAGATGTAAAATGTATTACTGTGAACTGAAGTCAAAGAAGTTGGAAAACTCTGGTCTAAGTTTTGACCACATGAGAGGGCTGCTAAAAAGGAATGGAAAACAAGATCAGTGGATGAGAGATGAGGGAAGGTCAGAGTACTGGAAAGATTGTCTTCCTGGATACTAAAATCACCAAGCATCATGACAGGGGTAGTACTGGGGAGTGATTTGTGACCTACAAGCTTAGATTTTCAAGGAATTACCCCAAGAGTCTGTAGATGAAAGCAAAAATAAGGGGAAGCAGTGGTGAAGTGTAAGAGAAAAGCTTCAACACTAGGAGTTTTTAGGGAGGAAGGAGGACAATCTGGAAGAGGCAATGAGGAGCAAGAAAAAAACCTACTTACCTGCACGCCCAGTGGTGAAAAGGATGGGGAAGAAAAACCAGCTACCAGTAAGAAGAGCTGCAAAGGAAGCAGAGTCAGTGGGAGAGGATTAGTTTTTGCTACAGAAAGAGTGTGAAAGGAATAGTCAAAGAGATGGAGAATACAGGCAATTTATTCTGCCTGCTTATTGGTGGGACCAGTTAGTGACATCATAAACGTGGGAAAACCCTTCCAGTACTGGTCCCACTACTATGACTTAATGTGCGTCTTTGAGCCAGCTGTGGCACTCAACACAAAGCCATTCTTTGTTTGCAGCTCCTTTTTTTGCTCCAGAATTAGGAGGAATCCCTATGCTCAGAAACAAAGTACCGAGGTGACTAATAGAGATGTTAGGGTTATAACCAGCAAGAGGTTGACAGATTCTGGGCTTGGAGATGGGGGACAATCAGGGGAGAGTGTAATGATGTTAGAGTATGGAAAAGACTTCTGGGTTCCCTGGGATTTGGGCAGGAGGATAGCATTATAGGCCATGCCCTCTGCCAGATTCCCTCTCCCATTCATCTCATTAAGGGACGAGTTTGCAATTCAATTTTAGTTTGTATATCTACTAACTTATCAAAAATATACAATATGTTCACAAAATATGATCTAATAAAAGTGGCAGTAACTTAATGCAGAAAACTGTTAACTCTTAAAGCAATATGGTCATTAGAAAAAAAATTTAATTAAGTTCAGTATTTATACTTTTTTGTTTTAGAGAAGTACAACAGGGTAGATCAAAAACAGCCATGTTACAATAGAATGTATTTTTATAGGGTAAGGGAATGAAAATACAAGTTCAAACACAAGGGGATGTAAAATTTCAAATGTTAAAGAAAATTTATTGTTTTAAATAGATGATAGTCTATCTTAAAAAATAATCCCAGTGGTAGTTAGATTCATTTAGAAAAGTGATGGAACACATTTTAAAAGTCACAATTTATAATGTACTGGAAATCATATTCTTTACAACTGCTTGAACTTACGATGCGAAATTTTTAGATATCAATCTAAAAATATGCAAGGGGGTAGATAATCTTTCAAAAGGATATACTTTCAAATTTTGAAGACTACTACCCTACAGCAGAGCTTCACATGTAATGTAACATAGTGGTTACAAACAGACTCAGGAGTTAAGTCTTTCTACTGGTATGACATTGGATAAGTGACTTAAGTTCAGCTCAGTCTACCTATCTGTAAAATGGGGACAGTAACAATACCCTGTCTTTAGAGTTAAAGTTGTCTAACTTCCGCATATGGGTTTGTTAAAATACAGACCACTGGGCCCCATTCCCAGAGATTCTGCTTCGGCAGATCTGGGGTCAGGCCCCCAACTTTGCATTTCTAACAAGTTTCCAGGTGATGTTAATGCTGCTGGCTCAGGGATCACACTTTGAGAACCTTTGGCCTAGCTCATAAAATCATTGTGAGGATTAAAAAGTTAGTATATAAAAGTGCTTAGAACTCCACTGGCCCACAACAGGTGCTAAAACATATTAGCCAGTATCAGCAGTTAGGATCGGATTCACTGCAAAAGAAGACTCTGCTCCAGTGGGTTAAATAGAAAGGAGTTAGTATATGTCATTTAACATGAGGACCTGAGGTAAATCATCCAGGGCTGGCACCGCTGCTCAAGAATGTCATGAAGTTCCCAGGCTCCTTCGGTCTTCTTTTCTCAGTTGTCTTTGTTCTGTGGTTTTCAACATCATAAATCCATAATAGATGCTGTTCCTCCAGGAATCTTGTCTGAATTCCAGACAGGAAGAGAGAAGATCAAAGAAGTACAGGGTTAAGAGTTGATGGAACAGAGGGGAGGGTACAGCTCAGTAGTAGAGCACATGCTTAGCATGCATGAGGTCCTGGGTTTAATCCTCAGTACCCCATTAAAAAATAAATAAACCTAATTACCCACCCCCACAAAAAAAGCTAATGGAGCAAGCCACAAGTCACAGCCCCTCCTTCTGGAAAAATGTTTCTAGAAGCTCCCCATAAGCAACTTTCACTTAAATCTCAATGGTCAGACCCAGGCCACATGCCACCCCAACTACAAGGGAGAAGGGAAGGGAAGAATTTTGGCTCTCTAGCTATCATGATGGAGGTAATCAAAGGAGAAAGGAGTTTGGGATGAAAGTATACAACATCTGCAGAAACTCATGCAAAATATCAAATGTATGTGTATTTTTCTAAGGAGTCAATCCATAGCTTTCACCAGATTTTCAAAGATCAAAAAACTGGCTCTCAAGCCCACATTTCTTCACTCAAGCATCCAAATATTTTAACAAAAGGGATATTCACTCCCCTGCACACCCCATCTCAGACATCACATGAAATTATAAAACCTGACAGCATGGTTGCATTAATTTCCGTCTCTTTTCCTTTTTTAAGCATTCTACTAAACCTGTAAATGCTGCTTATATTATTTAAATACTTGTTTATAAGTAGTCCTATGGGGTACATTTTGGTGTGTGTATGTGTTTTAATGCGACTTCCCAAATAGAGCATATACTTCTTTAAAAAAATGTGTCTTCATTTATTTTCTTCCTGTTACATTTGTATAAAGTTGGGGAACAAGGGGCATTAACTTAGGAGTTAAGTTCTTCTGTTCTTTATTTCAGGCTGGCATTAATAACTGGAGATTTGGGTTCCCTGACAGTAGAAACTGAATGGATATTTAAAGAAGAGAGGCAGGACTGGATTTATTCCCTTTCTTAGTGTTTAAAAGATTGCTTAATTTAGGAGTATAACCTAAATCCTGAAGGATTTGCATTCTTCAACATATCACTTCTATTTAATTGGAGGAAAGAAGGCTTATCTACGGAAATGTTTACTGGGATCATCTAGAATGTCATCTTGTTCCTAAAAACGTTAGATCAAACGTACTAATTCTAAAGTTTCAGCTGATCAGTGTATATAATGGGTTAGGGAATGAATTCTGAAATTATTAAAATGTTAACAGTGAGAAAGTTTAAAGGCATTTTTAAATGACACATCGTTTCATATTCCGGGAAAAGTGAACTTAGGAAGTTAATATTTGCTAGAAGGCTCACTGCCTACCAGCAGATGAGTCCGAGTTTGGTAGAAAGCACGTTATCACTTACAAACTGGCCAAGAGGATGTTCCAATGTGTAGAGAACAAGTGATTTACAAGAAACAAGGGACATTTTTTAAATAATGAGCTGACAACTTATAAAAGTTAGCCTTTATATAAAATTCAGTTTAGTTTTATCCTAACAATGTTATGTTGACACAGTTTTGTACCAAGCTTTTTGTATTAAATCATTTTTATTTTTTAATATTGAACTCAAGCTTTCTTTTGCAGTTGAGATATCCCAACTCTCAATTAGCAGACGTACTAGTTCCCTTATCTTGGACTTATCCTATTTATAGTTTAAAAATTTTTTGAAAAGGTAAATTTCCACTTTCTAGGCTCTTTAATGAGAAATACAAATTTCTTGAAAGTTGAAAATCCACTGACCAAGTTCATAGTCTCAACTTTGAGCATCCCTGCTTTAACTATCAGAACAGAGCAGCAGTTGGCAAATTTGTTTGGGGTTGTCCTAAAACCATGTTAAATGTTAATATGAATGGTTTCCTTAAATATGAATTCCTGGTGTCAGATGAGATGTGAACTCTGGTCTGATACTATTTCAACTATTCATATACACAAACTCCCTTATTAGGTATTATGGGTTGAACTGTGTTCCCTACCAAATTCAAACACTGAAGTCTTAACCCTCAGTACCTCAGAATGTGACCTTTATTTGGAGAAAGGTTTTTAAAGAAGTAAAATGGGGAAAAGTTAAAGTGAGGTCATTAGAACGGGCCCTAATCCAATATGACTGGTATCCTTATAAGAAGAGGAAAGGTGAACATGGTGACACACATGGAGGGAAGATGATGTGAAGAGACATAGGGAAAGAATCTACTAGCTAAGAGAGGCCTGAAACAGATCTTTCCCTCACGGCCCTCAGAAGGCATCAACCCTGTTGACACTTTGATTTTGGGCTTCCAGCCTCCAGAACTGTGAGACAATGCATTTCTGTTCTTTAAGGCCCAAGTCTGTGCTACTCTGTAAAGACAGCCCTAGCAGACTAGTAGGGCAGGGATTCTCCCATATTGTACAAAAGTTTTCTCTCATTCCTCACATCCAAAGACCGCTTCCTTCTTTCTCCATGCAAGGACACTGTTACACAAGAATGAGCTGTGGCTGAAAATGTTCCCACATTTTACAAACTTAAAAACCTTTTCCTAAATACGTGGCCCCTCTGATGTCAGAATCTCCCAAATTTTAGCTTAACACAGACTGCGACCAAAAGTGTTGTGGACAACTTTCATTCTGTCATGTAGCTTAAAAGGAAGTTGCTTGGTCACAATATTTTCTTTCTCTTTCCTATAGGCTGTGATTCAGTTTTGCCCTCATGAACAAGGACAGTGCTCTGGAGATTTCAAAGCAGCAAGCAAAGCACAGGCCACTGGAGAACTTTTTGAAGAAGTCTCCTGGCTTGCCTTTCAGCAAGACATTCACATGATAAATACATTTTCTATCCTGCTTAAAGCACTGTTACTTGTTCTTTGGGGTACTAATCATATAAATAACCCAACTAACATATGGGGAAAAAAAGAGAATAAGGGCTGTTAACTGAGGAGGTGGCCAAAGTTGATACACACTTACCTAGATTATTTCAAGAGTCTCTTAACTGATTTTACTGCTTTGGGTTTTGCCCCTGTCCAACGCATTCTCCACATTCTGACTATAATCTTTCTAATATATAAATCTGGTTATACTACTTTCTCATTTAAAACCACTGCCTAGAGTGGTACTGTCCAATATGGTGGCCCTAGCCATATGGAGATAATAAATTAATAAAAATTCAATAAAATAAACTCAACAGTACTAGCTACACTGCAAATGTTCAATAGCCCCAGGTAACCAGAGACTACCATGGTGGACAACACAGATATAGGACATTCCCACCATTATGCAAAGTTCTACTGAATGGCATTGGGCTATAAGATGCACATCTAAGACCCCCTGCATAATCTGTTAAGCTCTTTCTCTGCAGACTTATCTGATGTTGCTATACACTTCAGCAAAGAACAATAGGCTATTTCTTAGATCTGCTTTTTTTTTTAACAATCTCGCTGTCTGGGAATTCTCTCTCCACCATGTCCATCTGGAAAACAAGAATTCATTCTTTGTGTTACTTCTCTACACACACATACCCAAAAAAGCCAGAAGAACTGAACATGATTCAAGACTTATTTCTGAACATATCTTCTTTTCTGCTATCCCTGAAAAGAATGGCTGATCCAAGAAGTTCTTCAATTTAAAAAAATCACAATTTTACCCAAAAAACACCTGATTAAAAAATGGAAAAAGAACTTGAAGAAATATTTCTCCAAAGAAGATATATAAATGGCCAATAAGCACACAAAAAGATGCTCGACATCACTAATCATTAGGCATATGCAAATCAAACCCCCAATGATATCACCTCACATCCCTTAGGATGGCTACTATCAAAAAACCCAGAAAATAACAAGCGTTGGCAAGGAGGAGGAGAAACTGAAATCCTTGTACACTGCTGGTGGAATTGTAAAATGGGGGAGCCGCTATGGAAAACAGTATGGAGATTTCTCAAAAAACTGAAAGTAGAATTGTATGATCCAGCCAGTCCACTTCTGAGTGTGTATGCCCCAAAGAACTGAAAGCAGGGTCTTGTAGAAATATTTGTACACCCATGTGCAATAGCAGCATTATTCACAATAGTTAAAAGGTGGAAGCAATCCAAGTGCCCATCAATGAATAAATGGATATATAAAATGTGGTATATACATACAATGGAATAATAGTCAGCCTTAAAAAGAAAGGAAATTCTGACATATGCCACAACATGAATGAGGCCTAATTTATCCTCAACCACATCCTCAAACATCTCTGATTCTCAAACCATATAATGATCCTACTTTTCTAAGGACAAGACCACAGATATATAAAAGAAATGTAGAGATCTATAAAAAGGTATTTATGCTGATATAAATAAGGCTGGAGTGAGTTGCAAACAAGGAGGAAGGATACAGGGTAAAATGGTAGTTGGTTAAGAAAAAAACACACCTACCAGGAGCTACTGAGCAAGAAACATTTACCTGTAGGAGACTCGGTGCTGTGTCTGAGAGGATGCATGTGACCAGGACAGTGCTAGGCAGTCTCCAGCCAGAGTGAGGGAGCTGGGGCCAGCTGCCATGAAGAGAATAACTTTGTTTTATTAAATAATTAATAACCTTTTTTTTCCTGACAGAAAAGACACTAGAATTCTATTACTGAGCTCCTGGCAGTGCGGGAAAATCCTTCTATGGATTTTATTTTTGTTGAAGGAAAAAAATATGCTGAGTTCCTCAGATTAGACAAGGATAAAAATGAGAAGTCTCTTCTACTCGTTGCTTGTTTTATCCAAGTTTTGGACTCAGTACCTTGTTGATAAATTTCAGTCGGAGAGCCTGCATACACAAAGCAAGTGCCAGTTTGGCCACAGTGCCTCGACTGGGCAGCGTCAAAAGGATGCTTTCTGCCCAGAATAAAAGGTGAGCTTCACCTCTTGGATCTGACAGTAGTCCAGTGGTTGTTACCACCCGACTGCGCACTAGCATTCTCTAGAAAATTTAAAAGCGCTCGGGCTGTGGAGATGCACTGCTCTTGTCTGAACTAAATCCACTCCCACCCCCATCATAACATTACACATCTCTTATTTACTTGATGCCCAGAATTATCAAACAGTGCACTCAACACAGTCACATTTCTGCCTTCCCGGTAACGGTTTTCCACAAGATATCATCAGCCAGAGCGCTTGGACTATCCAGAACCTGTCGCTCAAGAGCCGGAATCCCTCCCTGCTTTCATCCGCCCCTCCCAACCACATCCAGGAGCAGAGACCTACCGCCAGCTGTCGTCCACGAGGCCAGTCGGCTTCCGATGGACCCTGTCGGGTGAGGAGTATCCAGGTCTGTGCCGTCTGCTCCCTGGCCAGATGGGTCTCCGCACAGTCATCCACTCGGTTCAGCTCCAGAATCCGCGTAGGTTGCGTTGGGGTCAAAAGGCGAAGCGCCAGAACTTACTTGCCTTCATCCTCCGCACTCCCCATCACCTACGGATTTTTGCAATCTGCTGCTTCTTCTTAGCAAGCCACCTGGGGGCCACCTCTAGAACCAGACTTAGGTTTCTCGACATTTGAAGTCCCACCTTTGTCAGCTTGGAGGCTCGGAAGACTGACCCTTCTCTAGCCACCTGTAAGCAGTCCTGCTTGGGGACAGGATTCAGGGTGTCGGTTCCCGAGCTCGCGGAGGAAAACAAGACCGTGAACACTTAGGCCTCTGGGGTGGAATAACGAGACAGCATTGTTTACAGCCTCTGACGTTATTTCCAGGTCCGCTCTAGGAACCTGGGAGGTTTCTGAGTCTCTGTGGTTATTTCTTGCTGTTAATGCTCCACGTGACTTTAATCTCTCCTCGGCTCTACCTTCTAAGTGGACCTGGAAGGGTTTATGTTTGAAAGAGAAATTATTTGGGAAAACTTCAAAAGCATATATGCAAAGATAGAATAGTACAATGAATTCTATGTACTTATATCACATCTTCAACAATTATCAGCTCATGGCAATATTACTAACCTATAACCAATCCTCATTCCTCCCAACGCATTGTTTGAAGTGAATATCAGACACGTCGCATTGATCCATTTAGCACAGCCTAGACTAAGGTGAGGCGAGTTAGGCATTTGCACAAAATTTAGGAGGCTGCCAAAAAGCTTAGCAAAAGAGACAAAAAATATTTTAAAGCAACATTAAAAAAAAATAAAAATTAATGCTGACTGGGACATCATGCTGTACACCAGAAATTGACACATTGTAAGTGACTATACTTAAATTTAAAAAAGAATTTAAAAATTAATTCAAAAATCCGTAATGAATACAATATAAAAATTTTAAATAGTCAGTATTACTGAGTTTTCCTTTTGCCTCAAGCTCCTATAGGACTGACACAGGACTAAGTATCTCTAAAATGTAAGGACCTTTTTGAAAAACATAATCACAGTATCGTTATCACATCTAAAAATAACAAAAATAAGAGCATCAAGTATCCAATCGTTCAAATTTTGCCAATTTTAGATATTTTATAAATATATTCTATAATATATATTATGACAATCATATATAAGACATATACTATATATACACTTTTAAAAAACAATTCATAGGATATATGTCTTAAGTTTTTTAAATCAATAATGTCTCTCTTTTCCCTTTTAATATATTTTTAGAAGAAACCCGAGGCTTTCTACAGTCTGGATTTTGTCTCCCAGGAACTTTTAACTCAAGTCACTTCCTCCAGTATAGAGAAGGAAAAATAATCTTTCTCTCTGCCCTTCTAAGTTCTCAGCTAGGGCCCCTGTAACAAAAGACAGACTAAAGAGAAAAATATACAAATTTTTGTTTCATGTGATATGGGAGCCCTCATAAAGAAATGAAGACTCAAGCATTTGTAGTTGAATGCACGTATACTGAATCAGACAAAGAGCAGTAAAAATATGAAAATGTGACAAAGCAAAGGGGCTTGGGTTAGGATAGTTAATTGGGTGAAGTGACTAGGAAGATAAGGGTTAATTTGTATGAATTTCCCTCTGCCTCAACTTTCCAACCTTGACAATAAGAAAGTTACTTCCCTCCTAGTATGGAGGATATCTTTCACATGGGAATTTTATCTTCTACTTCAAAGGAAAAGAAGGAAGATTAGAGTGGTCTTCTCATATCTGCTATTTTTCAAGTGCTTTTAGCTCAAAATAATCCTTATGCCAAAATGGCATATTTATACTCTGTCACATTTCACCAGCTTTTTTCTGTATTCTAATGGCAAAGCCCACAGAACAGCCAACCTGCCTCACAAAAGCAGAATTTTCAGCTGGACCACCTGAAACTAGTTATTGTTCAAAGTCTGATATTGGCAGGGAAGGCCAGAGTACCAGGTTCTTCCCCTTACCAGCTTTCTTCAGCCACGTTGGCCATCTGTCCCTACAGCACTGCAAGGTCACTTGATTTTAAGGCCTTTGTAGTTGCCAGGCCTGTGCTTCCAGTGCTTTGCATTTATTGCTGACTTTTTCCGCATTCCCACATCAGCTTGAAATTGATCGCAAGTGATTGCTTCAGAGAGCGCTTCACTGGCCATCCCACCTGATATAGCTTTCCACTCAGTCTTCTTCACCACATCACCTTGTTTTATTTTCTCATAAGTATAATACACTTACCACTATTCAAAATTATCTTGACCCTTTATTTGTTTGCTTGTTCATTCCTTTCACTAGAACGAAAGTTCTATGAAAGCAAACACTTTGCCTATTTTGTGCACAGATTGGAAACCTGTTGATGCCGTGTGTGAGTAACAAGGAGGGGTTGGAGAGAGAACTCTCAGGCACCTTTTATCTAAGGCTGTATGTTATCAACACTATAAACATCTGAAGCATTATGTCACCATCAAAGGTGCCTTTAGAGGTGATTGATTTACAAATTTAGATTTAAACTAATAAGCATATGGCAGTTGGAAAAGAGACCGAAATTGGTGTGATGTAATTTTCAAGATTGGGAAGATTTGTCCCAGGTACTTCAGGCTGCAATGTCGTTGATGGCTGAAAAGTTAGACAACCTAAGGGTAATGCCAACAAAGTGGCCCTGGGCCTGAAACCGGTAAGTTAAAAGTGGCCCGTACGGGGATCGAACCCGCGACCTTGGCGTTATTAGCACCACGCTCTAACCAACTGAGCTAACCGGCCTCGATATGAGAGGGATATAGTCTCTTTAATACTTTTAATATCATTGACTTTTTGGAATTTCTTCTTATCTTCACCAGTTCCGGTCTCCTTAAAGGAAAAAGAAAAAAAAGAAAGCTGTATCTTTGTCAAGAATGAACCTTGCCTCTAAGGAGACATTTCGTCTTCTCGAACGCACCAATTCCTTTTGGAAAGACACACTGACGCCTTCAGGAATGGGTTCCTTCCTCCTACCCCGGGAAGCCCGGAAAAGGTTTGAGATTCCAGAGGGCAGACTGGGAAACTGACATGCTGAGCGGCCAACAGGTCTTGAAAGATTCAGTTTAAACTGTGGGAACTTGAGTTTGCTCTTAAAACATAGCAGTAAAGGGATTCAGGACATGCTACCCACAAAATATGGCACCTTGGCATACTGAATATTTTAAACTGAAAATGTGAAGAGAAAAAAACCAAAACAGCAGAAGCAGGAAGGACCCTCTGACCCCTCCACCTTCCCCACCTGGCCCACCAACCCGTTGCCCTACTTCCTGAAACAGGTCACAAAACTCCCATGTGAAATGTGCACTCCCTTGTACCAGGAGGAAGACATTCTTATCACCAGGGACAGGGAGCTGGAGGTGGAGAAATCTGTACAAACCTTGCTAAACTAACCATTTTCTTCCTAGTCACTTCTTCGCCATTTACTATCCATAGCTGAAACCCTTTTGTCTTGTCAATTCTCCACGAATTTGTTATTTCCTTGTCTATAAGATATAAAAGATTCCTGGTTTGGTCACTTCTTCCCGTCTTCATCCTCTTGTGAAGTTTCCCAGGTCCATGTAAAAAGTCAATAAAAATATGTATGCTTTTCTCCTGTTAATCTGTCTTTGTCAGTTCAATTTTCAGATCCAGCCAGGAACCTTAAGAGTGTGGAGAAAACCTTTCTTCTCTCCCACAGAAGCAATTTACCTATCTGATCTCTGGGTTTCTGTTAAGGATGGCTCTTAAAACAGGGGTGTTCCTTTTAAAGAGAAAGAAGAGTACTGAGAATTTACTAGCTGTCAGGCACTTTGCTAGATAACTTTATAAACATTATGGATATAATTCTCACTACTGCTCTATGCACTAGGAATTAACATTTCCATTTTACCAATGAAGAAACTGAGGTTTAGAGAGAGAGTCAATAGGAAGGCCAGAATTACAGTAGGTGGTCTTTGGGCTCTTTTCTCTTTTAGACACCAATCTGCTGGCTTTCTCAACTTTAAAATGGTCAGAATTTAGTTTACAATAAAGTTGGCATTTCAAATCAGTGAAGAAGAGATGGATAATTCAATAAATGGTGTTGTGACAACTGAACAGCCAACTGGAAAAACAATACATTGCAACAACAACCAAAAAAAATAGCTGGACCAAAGACTAAGTAGTATAAGAAATCAAAGCATTCTAGAAGAAATAATAGGAAGACTTTTTTGTTTGTTTTTTGTTTTAATACCCTTGAAGTGAGAAAGACACAAAATCCAGAAGCCACAAAAGAAAAAAAAATGTATACCTCTGGCTACATTAAGACAATTTTGTGCATGGCAAAACAAAAACAACCTCATAAGCAAAATTACAAGCAGAAGCCAGGAGAGTAGGAGACTCTTTGCAATAACCTTAGGGTATAAGATAAAGAGTCTCAAAAGGCAGGACCTTAGAGTGAGGAAAAACCCTACTTATGTGCCCAGAAGAAAATCTGATGTATGTGAGAAAGTTCAGAACATGCCACCCCAAAACATGCAGCTTTGGTATATTGAATGTTTGGAGTTAAAGGCACTTGAAAAGCAGCAAATAGAAGAAAAACATTCTAACCTTTTTCCTTTTCTTAAAAGCAGAAGTTGAAATTCCTACCTGAAAGATGTCCTCCCTATACCAAAAGGAAAGTAACATTCTCATCATCAAGGACAAGAGAAGGTGAGGGGGGTGGAGGGTATAGCTCAGTGGTCGAGTGTGTGCTTAGCATGAACAAGATTGTGGGTTCAATCCCCAGTTATTTCATTAAGAATATATAAATAAACCTAATTACCTGACCCCCTCCCCCCTCAAAAAAAGCAGACAAGGTGAGACTGAGAGAATTCTATACAAGCAGACCTTGTTAAAATAATTCTTATCTTCCTTTAGCCTCCCTGCATAGTTTAGTCACTTTTCTATAATTGCCACTTTGTTCAATCTAATATAAAAGAAAATAGGTCCCACCATTTCTTTGGATCTTCCTTCCTTGCAAAGCTTCCTGTGTTGCATAAAATGGTATTAAATAAGTTTATATGCTTTTCTTTTTTTCATCTATCTTATGTCAGTTTAATTCTAGGCCCAGGCACAAATAACCTAAATAGGATAAAAGTAAAAGTTTGCCTCCTCTACAAATGCCTGAAGGAAATAAAATAATGGAAGATTCAAACATTAAACAAATGTGAAAGTGCTATCTTCTGTGTGAAAAAGAAGAAAAATAATTAATATATATGTTTACATGCATATGCATAAAGAAAATTAATAAGGATAAATGAAAAATTAAGGACAAACTTTACCTGTGGGAGGTGATTGTGAGAAGTGTACTGATGAGGGATAAAAATGGAA